TTTTATTGTATATAAAATACTCTCAACTTGCTTGACATAAGAATTATGGAAAATTATGTGCCTCATATCTTTTTAAGCTGACATTTAAATACTTATCTCAACTGTAATAGATGCAATTCAGAGTTTATTGTGTATTGTATGACATTTAAATATATTTTAAAACGCACTTGGTGTGGCATATTTGAAGCCCAACATATAAAACATATCTGCTACAGAAAACTTCACCGACAGTTCTCATGGTAAAACAGTCAAATCATAATTGTCTGAACCATAAAAAGTTCAACTTCCAGTTAACATGTCACTATATGTCCATAGCAGCAATTTTTCTGAATCTGAATTCTATACATAAGCTGAAACAAAGTGAGCATAGTATAGCATGAGTATTTAACCTGAATGAAATCACACATTACATTTAAATACATTTATAACATATATAAAATTCAGGAGTTTTGTATTTTGAAGAATTCCTCTATTTTGCTGCCTGTTTTTATATCATTATAGTAAGATTCAAGATGTGAAAAAAGTGCACTTCTTTTTGTAAAGTAGGAAATGATCATTGTAAAAAGGGAGGTAATCAAGGGGAAAAACTGACAGCAAGAGTTGTTCCCAGATATACTGTGGCAGGGATCCCACTCCCTGGGTAGGGAAAAAAAAAAAAAAAACAGTCAAAGGCAAAAACTCCTAGGGCAGCAGCAGCTCTCTGGGACTGGGAGGTGGAGGGAGCTTTCTGAGAAATACCTCATCTGCAACTAGGTCAACTAAACCAAATCTAATGCCTGCAGGTGTAACTGTGTGTGACAGTTATATAAGCATTGCTATAGCTTTTAACTATCCAATCAAATATGTGTAACCAAATATGTAAAAGTTACAGTTTTTGTGCCAGTGTATATAAAACAACACCCTGTTTTTTTCGGAGTCCAGACTCTGGATACAATTCCTCTGGGACTGCTGGCAAGAATAAAATCTATTTTTCTGTTAACAGCTTTGGTGTTCCATGTCCCTGTCAGAGAATCCTGCTACATGATCAGCTTTGGAAAACAATACAAGGAAGTTGAGCATCTACAAAAGGATTTCCCTAAAGTTGTCATAGCAATATACATCTGAAAATTCTTCAAGTATCCTCAGGAATATGCATATCTTATTCAAAGATATCTAGAATGGAATCCTCTCAGGGTTATAAACAAAATGTGCAGCAGCTAGTATGTCCTCACTGAAAGAAATGAGACACAAAGAATGTTCATGAAAGCATTCATTCCAGTAGGCACCAGCACCCGCAAGTCTTCATTGTAAATCTGCTTGCCATAACCATGCATGTACAAGGCAAAGAAATTTCATATTAGGACTACTGTCACTGAGTGACTTGCTGGAATGCTTATGATGATATTTATGAGGTTGAGTCAGAAAAATTCTGCTGATTATCAATATTTGGCAGAATGGGAAAGTGATAGCCTAAGTGCCTCATCAGTCTTCTCCCATTAAAATCAGAATAAGTTGACCACACAATTATATTTGAATTTATTGGGTTATCTATTTAACCTTTAGTTCCTGTAATTCTCAATGTAGATGCATCCTAAATAATGCACTTTTAAAGGGGAAAGGTACAAAGGTTTTTTTTTTACTTCATCATAAACTTGATATAATATGTAAAATTTCCTCACATAAGAAGAAAGTTCAGTTCTTTTACGAATCAACCGAGAAAAATAAGATTTATTCACTCATTACTTGATAGATAATATAAGAAAAGCATGCATACACTTTGTTAAAAGAAATTATATAATTTTAATATTACTGGAAAATAAAGTGCAAGAGGTAAGTAGTAAAGAAAAACCTGTACTGATTAGCAAGGAGTGTGCAACAAAGGCTTTGTAAGGACTCATTCTTTTCTTTACCATTTTTTTAAAAAGATTGATTTCTTTATTTGAAAGTCAGAATTACACAGAGAGAGAAGAGGCAGAGAGAGAGAGAGAGAGGTCTTCCATCCGCTGGTTCATTCCCCAGATGGCTGCAACAGCTGGAGCTGCGCATCCGAAGCCAGGAGCCAGGATCTTCCTCAAGATCTCCCACACGGGTGCAGGAGCCCAAGGACTTGGGCCATCTTCTACTGCTTTCCCAGGCCATAGCAAAGAGCTGGATCAGAAGTGAAGCAGCCGGGTCTCGAACCGGCGCCCATATGGGATGCTGGCGCTTCAGGCTGGGACATTAACCCACTGCGCTACGGTGCTGGCCCCTCTTTACCATTTTTTTAAAGTAGGACTCAAATATCTTTCAACTGTTTTACAACAGAAGAAAGAACCATGTTAAGAACAGAAATGGGATACAACAAACGTGACTCTAAATTTGTTAGTGAAATTTAATCCAAAAATGTCTGAAATAAATCAGTACAACTTCACCACTGAGCATTTTCACAAGGAATATGTCAGAATTTTGGTGTTTAAACTCTCATCTGAAAGAGATGGACTGCCTTTATTTGTTCATTGATTTCTTAATAAAACTTTGGGCAAACACAAAAAAAGAAATGACTGTGTGTATCAGTACTGATACTAATAGAATTTTGTCAAACTTCATTTTATATATTTGTCAAATCAGTGATTAAGAATTATATACTACTATACTTTTAATGACCTGTGATTATTTATAACTTCAGTGTAAATGAATTAAATCATCTTTTCATTTGGTTATTGTTTATAATCCTTGCCCAGAATCCCAATTAACTACGGTCTTTTCATTTTTCATTTGTTGACTTTTTTATTTACTTATTTATAAAAAGAAATAAATGTCATGTATTTCATATACACAGTTTTAAGAACAAAATGATGCTTCCCATCCTACCCTCCTTTTCCTCCCCTGCTACCACCCCCGCCACCTCCTTGAAGGCATCAGTTTTAATCTTCTGATTAAAACCATATTTATACTACAGAACACTCCCTCTTGTGGCAGTGCAGGGAATAAACATTAAAGGACAGTAAGACAAGACAAGAATTTGGGAAGATTGAGGTATTTTAGGTGAAAGAAATGTTGAATAGAAATACCACTGAGGATAAACAGAAGTTTATTATTAAATATAGATTTAATAGTAGGAGCCTCCACAACTTGAGATTATTGATTGTAGGCAGAAGAATGGATGGTGATTTGACTAAATAGGAGAATGAAAGAATGGAGAACAGAATTTGACATGGTTCAGATTTGGATGTCTGGTATTAGACACATAGATATTTATTTGTGAAACAGAGGTCAAAGCTAAAGATAAAAATAGAAGCTCTTTGGCAGAGGTTATTGAAGCTGTAGAAGTGAGTGGAGTGAAAGCAGGAGCTTATTCAGTGTGGAGTGAAAAGGAGGATTGAGTAAAGAAAATCAATATGACTGTGATAGGTCGAAGAAAGAATCCTGCAATAGAGACTGAGCCATACATCCAGAGAGTTACTGAAAAGCTAGAGTACCTTGGGGTCATAGGAACAAAGGGAAATAAGTGCTTCAGAATGATAGTCATCAACAGTAAGACTTCACCAACTAGAAACTTAAAAAGAATAAAAGCATGACGATTGGAAGAATGTGATTATTTGTTGGTAAGAGGTTTTTATTTTCCTGATGTAGTAATTTAAAATAAGGTGCAATGAGAGGTAAAGAAAGAGGATAAATTTGAATATGAAAGTACAAAGATGACTGCAGCAGCTGGAAAGGGCAGATGATCCAGATGAGCTCAAGAAGTGCTTTTATTTAATAAAAGTTGTATATCTTTAAAGTGTACAACGTGATATTCTGATATGCATACACAGTGGAATGATTACTATGATCAAACAAATTAGCTTATATCCTCACATAGTTGCTTTTTGTATGTATATGGTGAGAGCATCTGAAATCTACACGGTCAAGAAATCTCCAGTTTACAATACAATAGTCTACAATAATTATAGTCATCATGCTGTACGTTAGCTCTCTAGACTTATTCATTCTACATTAACTACAACCGTGTACCATTTGACTAAAATCTATTTCCCCCATCTCTCCATTCCTGATAACTACCGTTCTATTCTTTGCTTCAACGTATTCAACTATTTTTACTTGCATATACAAATAAGATCATGCAGTATTCCTTTTTTAGGGCTCTGATTTCCTCCAGGTTCTTAATATCTTCCAGATTCATCCATGTTGTCAGAAATGCAGGAAAAAGAAAATCTTTTATTTTTAAATCATTTGGAATGCTTTTCTAAAAGATATGAAAGATTCTATCAAGGTGAAATCAGCAAGATACTGGAATAGGAAAGCTCAGTTTCCAAACCCCTCTCTCTACCCCCAGAAAAATAAGGAACCAAGTATCTACAGACCAAAACACTTCACTGGAAACTGCAATATTCAGAAACAAGCCTGAGACACCCATGTGGCCCACAAAAATAAATGAGCACTTAATTAGAAGGATAGGAAGAATAGTCTCACTTTAAACACAGTGTCCCCTTTCCTCCCATAAGTAAGCACAATTCCAGATGGAGATGATATCCCTGGGCCTAGAGTTTCTATAAGGAGAAAAGAGAACTAGAAGCAGTTATACAGCTTCCATATCTTTCTGAGTGCTTCCCGAGAAGCCCATTCCAGTTTTACCTCATAGCAAATAGGGCAATGCATGGCTAGTCGGCCCACAGTTGGGTACAAAGACAGTAACCAGTAGATGTTCTTGCCAATATCTCTATGTGGTTACAAGCAATCACACCCAATCAAAGAATCCAGCCAAGTTCATAGCCCTCCTGTAAAGCTGAGTTGGTTGCCTTTAGAAGCACAATGGGATGTGCAATTTAGCTTGAATTCCTAGATAGCTAGTCTCTATGTCCAGACCTGAGCCCACCACAGTGACCCATCAAGGCAGGTGTCACCTGCCTGCACTCAAAATATGGGCTAGAACTGTTTGATTTGGAAAATCAAGCAGCAGCTCAGCCAAAATCCCACCCCAAAGCTTAACCTGCCAGGGAGGCATCTTCAATTTAAATAGCACAGTCTCTGGTCCTACTCACCACAAGCAGAAACTGTGTCTATCCTTGAATCCCAGTCTGAAGTTCACATAACTGCAGCTCCAAATGGAGTTGCCAGCACAAGATATGCATCCCGTGACCAACAAGACCAGAGGCTGTTATATCTGACAACAAAGACCAGCCAGTGATCTTGCTACCCAACTCAGAGCAAACATAGCAGTCCCATCAACTGAAGAACCCACAGAAAGTAGTGCCTGCCCAGAATCCTCACTAGCTGGAATTCCATAGCTCACAAACTGCATTATCTGAAGATCTATAAACAGAACATCTACAAACACCAAAGAAAGATTTTCCTCCTCAAATGCACAGGCAATGATGCAAAAGCACAAGTGTTACAAAGAATCAGAGAGTCATGATACTCCAAAAGAAATTAACTAAACTCCAATAATGGACTCCAAAGAAATGGAGATCTGTTAAATAACTGATCATGAAATCAGACTAATCTCCTTAAAGTTCAGTGAACTAAAATAATATACAGAGAAAAAATTAAATGAAATTTAGAAAACAGCAATGAACAAAGTGATAAATTTGACAATTAAATAAAACAATTAAAACATGTCACAGAAGTGAAGAATACAATGAGAAAATTGAAAAATTCAGTAGATGTCTTCAGCAAATTTAACTGAGCAGAAGAAAAAATTCATAAAATCAAAGGCGAAATATTTTAAAATAGTCAATCAGTAGAGTAAAATAAAAATTTTAAGAAAAAAAGTTTATGAGAACATGAAACACCATAAAGAGATGAAGCTTTGGAATAATGGGAGTTTCAGAGGAGAATAAAAAGAGGAGTCTGAGAGTATATTTAAAGAAATAATAATGGGATAGTTCCCTAAGCTTGGGAGCACAGAAAGATGCAGAGAAAACCCAGTGGTTCTAATCAAATTCAACTAAAAGAAGACTTCACTAATATACACAATAATCAAAGCATTAAAAATCAAATTTAGGCCAGTGCTGCAGCTCCCTAGGCTAATCCTCCACATGCGGCACCGGCACCCTGGGTTCTAGTCCTGGTCAGGGCGCCGGATTCTGTCCTGGTTGCTCCTCTTCCAGGCCAGCTCTCTGCTGTGGCCCGGGAGTGCAGTGGAGGATGGCCCAAGTGCTTGGGCCCTGTACCCACATGGGAGACCAGGAGAGGCACCTGGCTTGTGGCTTCGGATCAGCGCACTGCGCCAGCCACACAGCGCCAGCCGCAGAGCGCCAGCCGCAGTGGCCACTGTGGGGTGAACCAACAGAAAAGGAAGACCTTTCTCTCTCTCTCTCTCTCTCTCTCTCTCTCTCTTACTGTCCACTCTGCCTGCCAAAAAAATTAAAAAAAAATAAAAAATCAATTTAATCAATTGATGACTGAATAAATAAATTATGATATGTACACACTATGAAATACTACTTATTCATAAAAAATTAAATCCTGTTATTTGCAACTAAATGGATGCAACTAGGAACCATTATACTTAGTGAAATAAGCCAGTCCCTAAAGACAAATACCATATCTTTTCCCTGATCTCTGGTAACTAATAGAGTACCAAAAATGTAATGTATGGAAGCAAAACTGACATTTTATCTCTATGGTGGGGAATAGTGTTTTGTTTTGTTTTTTTCTTTTACTATTTGTTGTACTCTTTACTTAGTGTAGAGTTAATCTTGTGAGTATAAAATAGGCTGAAAGTAGATCATTGTAAATATTAAGACTGGGAATAAGAGAGGAAGGAGCAGGAAGGGTGGGAGCATGAGAGGAAGTGAGGGTAGGGTGGGAAGGATCACTATGTTCCTAAATCTGTATATATGAAATTCATGAAATTTGTATGCCTTCAATACAATTAATAAAATAAAAAAGCAAAAAAAAAAATCAAGGACAAAAAAAAATCTGAGAACAGCAAGGGATAAGAAATATATCATACAAAAGAATTCCAAAATGGCTATCAGTGGATGTTTCAGCAGAAACCCTATAGACCAGGAGAAGGTGAGATAATATTTTCAAAATGCTAAAGGGAAAAAACAACTTGCCAACCAAGAACACTTTACCCAGCAAAGTTTTCTTTCAGAAATGAAAAAAAATGAAAACTTTCCCCAAATCTAAGGGAGTTGATAAGCATAAGGCAGGAATTTCTAAATAGTTTTATTTAAACTGAAATAAAACATTGCTAATTAAGAACATAAAACAAATGAAATAAATAAACTCAAAGATGTAAGTAAAACAGTTATATTCAAAATACTCTAGAATTGTAATGGTGATGTGTACACAAATTAATCCCTTGTACAAGTGTTGGAAGACAAAATTCGTAGTAACTGTTTCTAAAATAAATAGTCAATTGAGACACATAACAAAATAATGTAAATTCTGGCATCAAAAAATAAAGCATTTTGGGGGAGTGTAGAATTATTGTATGTAATCAAAGTTAAGTTGCTATCAGCTAGAAATAGGCTTCTATAAGGAGTTCTATGGAAACTCCACAGTACTTAACAAAACAAAAATCTTTAGTAGAAACATGTACTATGCTGTTTTAATTACTATATCATGTGAAACCATAAAAAGTCCCAAGAAGTCACAGTAATCATGAGCAGAAAGAGAAAAGCTGAAGGCATAATACAATCTAAATTCAAACTATATTACAAAGATATAAAAAAAAATTTAATTTTTTAGAAGGTGACAGTGAAATGGTGGTTACAACGATGGTGCAGGATAGATAGAACAGAGATAATTTTCATAAGGTACAAAATGTCAGATAGGAAGAATGAGGGTTTTTTAATTTCAGATCTATTGCACAACATGATGAATAATATGTGTATTGTACACTTCAAAAGTACTGAGTTAATTTTTGAGTACTATAACCACAAAAAATAGTATGAGATGACAGATGTGTTAATTACCTTGATTTGATCATTGCATGTTATATCCATAAGTCCTAACATCACTTTGTAGCCCATAAATATATGAAAATATAACTTGCAAACTTAAAATAAATAAGATATTAAAAACAAAAATGGAAGATTTAGACAGTTTCAAAAGTACTGAAATGCCTGTACAGAGCGAAATATAAAGGAGAGAGACTGTAAACTAAAGTGAAATAGAAAGTGAGAACAGGCTTTGCAGACCAGAGTTGGGTAGAAGAACTATAGATAGAGGGACATAATCAAAGGGAAGGAGAAAAGGATGTATAACAGAAAAAATGGAGTCTGGTACACTTGCAACCATTTTCTCTCCAAAGCAGAAGTAAACATCGTCTGTCAGAAGTATTTGATAGGGGAAAAGAAGGTGGAATATAGGGACACTGAAGAAGAAAAGAGTGGCTGGCATTGTGGTGCAGCTGTTTAACCTACCGCTTGCAATGCTGGCATCTCAAGGGAGTACCAGTACAAGTTCTGGCTGCTCTACTTCCAATCCAGCTCTCTGCCAATGTGCCTGGGGAAACAGCAGGGTATGGTCCCAATTACTTGGGCCCATGCCACCCACAGGGGAAACCCAGATGGAGTTCTTGGCTCTTGGCTTCCGCCTGGACCAGTACTTGCTATTGTAGCCATTTGATTAGAGAACCAGCAGATAGAAGATAATACTCTTTTCCATCTTTCAAACAAATAAATACAAATAAATCTTTAAAAAAAAAGAAGAGAAGAGAATGTGAGAATTAGTCATGTGAAGGACAGAGAGCTAATTATGGAAACAGAGTAGGGTTGTCCTGTGACTTGGAATCCCGTATTGAGATTGATGGCCATGATTTGAAAATGTCAGCAGTCTGCATGTATAATCTTAACCAGCAGTTCAGAAACAAGCCTCAGAGAGCAAGCAATTATATTAATCTGTGTTAGGATTTTTGATTAGCAGTCATGGTAAAAGGGCAGTAAAGTAAGAGATTTTATGATTCTAGCAAATATATAGCTCTACTTATTATCCTGGGATTCCAAGCCAGATGAGAAAATGACTAAAAATAGTAAGAAAGCAGTAGTAAGAGAATGGGTTTATAGACAAAGGAATAGTGTATGGAGGTGGACAAAGTTAGTACAATAGAGGAGATAATTCATTAAACACAGTTCTGAAGGAGATGTGAAAAAATGGCAACCTAATCACAAGTGAATGGACTTACTCAAGGTTAAAGGACACATTGTCCTCTGAAACAGCAAGCCAGGACATATGGATTGATATAAGTGCAGGACATTAGCAAATGGAGATTTAAAGTGGATCTACTTCAACCACTCAAAATTTTTCACACAACAAAAGTTTACCAAAAATATTTTAGCCATGTACCTAATTTTAAGAAAATATATAAAGTAACTTTTTTAAAAACAACAAAAATATATACAGTACCTTATATAATGAGCTCAGTTAATTGGGTACATATTTGAGAGATCAAAGTGGTTTTATAATGGGTACAGTTTATATCAGCAAACACAAAAAAATTCTACAACATGCACTTTAACAAATATAGCTCATTGCAACAAACTTTTTTTAGTTTCAATATTATAAATCAATTTATACAAAACCAGTAAGATTCCTCAATAAATTGTTAGTTACTATTTTTTCCATCTATATTTTTTTATTTATTTTTATTTAGTAAATATAAATTTTCAAAGTACAGTTAATGGATTACAATGGCTTCCCCCCCCATAATTTCCCTCCCACTCACACCCTTCCCATCTCCCGCTCCCTCTCCCATTCCATTCACATCAAGATTCATTTTCAATTATCTTTATATACACAAGATCAATTCAGTATATATTAAGTAAAGATTTCATCAGTTTGCACCCACACAGAAACACTCTTGCATGTTTTGAGGAACTAAGGGCAGTCCATTCTGTGTCCTGCAGCTCTGGAACTGTGGCAGGTGGAGCTACAATCTCTGGAGTAACTTGTACTCACCAGTGGGACCTGAAGGGTCCTGACTGCATTCCTGTTTCAGGCTGGTGGCTGCCAGCCAACAATCCCCAGAAAAATTGGCACCCAGCCTATGAGACCTGGATAAGGACCACGCTGCATCCTGCAGTTCTGTGACTATGACTATTGATTTGATAAACCTCAGCAACAACTGTGCTCCCCATGAGCCCTGCAGAGAGCAGTAACAACATTCCTCTGTTCTAGGCCTACACTTGCTAGTACACCATCCTCCATGTAACTTGCAATCATCATCTAGGACCTGGATAAACTTCCCTCCAAGGCCTGCAATTCTGAAACTGGGACTAGTGGAGCCATATCCCATAGAGTCACCTTAGTTCATCTTAGACCTGGGTGAAAGCCCCACTACATTCTGCAACTCTGGGTCTGTGACGGTTCTGTATGTGTAAGAACACCTGTGCTCCCCTATAGATCCTGGGAAAGGATCTATCTGCATCCCACTAATCTAGTTTGAATCAGCTACCCAGAATATCCCGTGATTAACATGGACTATGTGGGTAAGGTATCCTCCGAGTCCTGGAACTGGAACTGTTGGAGTTATAGTACACAGAATCA